CCCCCCCCCCCCCGCACTCTTATTTGGCAACGAGGAGACGCTGGAGTAGCTGCACGTTCGTTGGTAGAATGGTAGCACGTAACCTACGTACGCACGTGCATTGGATGAAACTATTTTCTGTTAGTTTTGTCCTTTCTTGTGTTGAGCGAACCATGTTGATTTGTCCTTTTTCGTTTTGTCGGGGATTTCGTTGTGGTATGCGTAGGAAACCCCACCTCAACAACGGCAGCAGCAGCGTCTTCGAGCGGGTTGGTCGTTTTTCTCGCCACTCACTCGCCGCTGCAGGTGACGCCGCCTTCGCGTTTTCTTGGGTAGATGAACGCACGCTGTTTAGGCAGGTACTACAATGCACTCAGTTGACTGTTGATCCGTAGGCAGATCTTGTTTCATTATGTTGCTTGATGTCTACAGCGGCGGGTAGTACTCAAACTAGTGTACCGCAGAAGAAGAAATGGCGACAGCGTTCATGCCGTTGGTTCGTGACGTGATCGGGAGGGAACACCACTTCACCAATAGACCAGGGTTGGTAATGGTAAGAGATGTGGATGCAAAGTGATATTTTCCGGAGGAACCACGTCTGCATCGGGGAAGGTTATGGTGGGGTAGTGTGCAGCTTGCTTGGAGGAAAAGATGGAGGTGGAGGAGATGAGTGGGACTTTTCTACGTAGTATATATACGAGTACCCAGTATTAATTATTGAATTGAATACATGAACGACATAACTGTAATGATCTGGGTAACGACGCCTGTGGGTGTGTATCCTCACCCTGATTGCCAGATCCATGTTATCTTGGTTATTGTCATGCTCTCCTCTTCTCTGAGCGGATCCATTCATCGCTGGCGCTGTTACTCGTCCGTTGGCTAAGTCAGCCTACGACGCGCAGATGCATCACATACATGAAAGATATTGGTGGAATTGAGAGCGAAGCATGAAATTGATAGCGAGAGCCAAAAAAAAATAAAATTCGTGTCCAGACGCCTCTTGCCATTTCTTGGGAAGTTGGGGGCGGGCTCCTCCAAGAAGCGGCGCGAATTGAAGCTCTCATCAGCAGCGTCACGAGCATACAGTTGGCGCCCGCAGTTGAGAGAAGAAACATAGCTCAATCTTGGTCACACAAAAAGACATGTCTCAATAAGAAAACACAGCGGCGACCGCTGCCCTACTACATAAAAAATGAGGGTTTACGGGGGAGTGTGTCGAAAAAGAAACAAATCCCACAGCTCTCTCGCTCTTTCCCCCTCTCCCCCAACCCCCCCCAGTGCTATTATTATTAGTTGTACGAATAGTGCCGGTGTCCGGAACACTGGTGATTATAGTTTGGGCACACACCTGCGGATAACATAACACTATAATATAACTATTATCCTAGCTAGGGACGAACCTCTAGTCTGGCGACTTGCGTGTTTGTACGTACACGAAATATATCATGGTTGTTTCAAACAAACAGGCGAGAACAAAAACAACAAAAATGGCTTCGCGTGAAAATACTACTCCAATACCCTAGTCGAGGGTGTATTTATTTTCCTAGTCGAGGAGATGCATTGAGTCAAGTCTTCACAGTCAACGGGAATGGGGAAATCATATACTCCCAATAATAAAATAGCCGTCGGACTCTCTGAGCGATAGTTCTGAGCAAGAAATCGCTTGCATGCATGCATTGGTTACAGGTCGACTATAGTTCGGAGTCAGTCAGTAATCATCATCGCACAAGATTTGTAGCAGTGCAGCAGCAGCAGATGCTGAGGGGTCGCAGGCAAAAGACAGCCAGTCGGCGCCGTAGAGATCGAGCACAAAAGACTCTCATCTACTGCCATAGACGAATCATCCACAGAGTTGGCTCGTCGGTTTTTTTTTTCATGTGGTGCTGCTGTGGCCTGAAGAACGCCTCCCGAACGAACGTGGGCGAAAATCCGGATTCCGAAACGGCACAGCGGCAGGGATGTGGCGATTTGGCACGCGGACGGATGCTTGCAGTTGCTCACTCCCTCACTGCCTCTCGGTTTGCTGATTTTTCCAAACGACCCAGTTTTTGACGGCAAAAGACAAAGAAGGACGACGGGAACTGCCTGTGCTGATGCGACTAAAGGATCGTGCGGCGTTAGAGTATAGCCCCAGCAACAACCTAGACTACACGACAAGATTCACCGACGGGTAAGAGGTGAGTGAGCAGCCACTGCTGTGAGTGTAGCCTTGCAGACGAAGCAAAGGAGGTTCGAAAGGCGCATGGAAGCATTGCGTGACCCCGGTCTCCAGGCGAACAGTTATCATTGAGCGTATCTCACGGTGCTGCGCTAGACGCGTTACTGCTATATTCTAAGCGTAAATGGCAGGATGCAAGTACATTCGGTGTCCTCTGAGTCTACAGCAGTACAGCAGCACACAGTCTCGACGTCATACTTTGGGGGCTCCTGTCTTGCATGCTACAGCACACGGAAGACGATTTCGCCGATAACATAGACACGAACGATGTTCTGGGCCGATCGTCCCCTCAGCGTCACTCGCTATTATTGTGTTGAGGCTACAGTACAGCTGAAAGGCTCTTGTATGCATAGTCTACATGTTCAAGAGAGTTCCACATCGATCGCTCGTCGTGGTTATTAGGGGAGGCCGGAGGTGCGGCGTGTTCCTCCCCACGCCCTCCCCGCCAAAATGTTGAGCGAGCAAGTCCACGGCGGTCGGTTTCGATACCGGCCTGCACGCACTACTCGGGTGTTTAGAAAACGCATAGCATCACAAGGAAGCTACCATTTTTCCTGGTGCATCGTCCACATTGAATAGCGCTCCTGTTGCTTGCTGTAGTCTGGGGATATTTGAGCGAGAACAGCGTGACATGTGTAACGGCGGTGGCTAGCTGGATGCAAATGTGTTGTCCCAACACACGCATAGACTAGAGAGTGCATTGGAAGCGTGTGCCTCACCCAGCAGTCATAGAACGACGCCTTGTCCTGGGACATCTGACGCAGCGCCTCCGCAACCTTTCTTTTTGGGACATCAACAAGACCGCCTTTGCCCGCCATGTTACTGTACACTCCTACGATGCTACGATCAATCCGACGTGCATAAAGCTACGTACACCATTAGCAACAGAAGCTTCCGAAGCGGCAGCGGATACGTTGCTTGTGTCCTGCCGATATGCCTCTCGCTACATACCCCGACTCCCGACTCTATGGGAACGATCTTCTGCATCAATATGTACTGACGAACAACGAATAATCCGCCTCTCTGTATTTTTTGCTCCAACAACTTCACCTGAAGCTCTGGACTCAGCACAAAGGATAACTACTGGACACACGACAGCAGCCTGAGATGAAGCTCGCGATGCTCTGGGTCGTTTTCAGTTGGCTCGTGGTCCTGGCGTTCGTGGCGAAAGCTTACGGCGAATACTGGATCATTGGGCTGCAGCAGTCATGTCGTTCTTGCAACGTGAACGAAACGTCGGAGGATGAACCTGCATGCCGAACAACAGCAGTGGAGGTGAGGGCATGATGCGACCTGAAGCACGGCGATAGTAATACGATGATGATACCGAGGCACCTTTGGCAGTTGCGTGTATTTTAAAGTCGGCGGATGTGTACTGTCATCTTGTCTATTCCGGACGCCAGATGACACCCCATGGTAGGTTATGTAGACCATCAAATGGGGACACACAGGAGGAAGGCCACACGTCAGCAGGGTAATGTCTCTACCTTGCTTCTGTTACTTGGCTGACCTTCTTTCGATACTGAGAAAGGTTCGAGCCATCCCCTTGTGGATCGTACAGCCGTTTTTTTTTGCACTCACGCTTTCATCATACATCTACAGTACTGTCCCATTTCTTTGGCATATGATGCAAAACAAATACCAAGTTCGTTTGATTATACCGAGATTCCGACCTAGCTCTCAACGTGAGAAGGGTATCAACAGAGCCACCGGGGCCATCGGCTCAACGTGCGTTCAGAACAGTTAGTAATTATGTGTGTAGTGAATACACTCTTTGTGAGACGGAGCCTTACCGTAACTTTCTCTCGATCTTGATAGCAACCCCGAAAGAAACTTGAAGTTGTACGTGTTTGCTCCTTATCCCCTTTGAAACCAATCTATCTCCGGTCCAGGTGATCACCTCCAGGCCCGCGTCGGCCCTGCCCACTCCCGACGAAAAGGGGCGGTCCGCTATGACACTACAAACACCGGCTCCCCCGTCGACCAACCGCCGGTCCTTATGCCGCCAGTTCCAGGGGGGGTACAATCAGGCGAGAGACAACTATTGGTCACCCCGTGCTGGCTACACCAACCGTCGCTCTCTGTCCAGAAAGTACTGGGGGCCGGGAGGGGCAAGGTTGACAGCGGAGGACGGGCACCACCGCCCCCGCCTCCAAAACCTGCCGACGAAGGATACGGTGGGGAAAGTCTCCCAGATTCCGCCCAAGGCGTCTGTTCGTGCGACTCGTTCTCGCCCGGGGAAGCGCGTTCTTGTGATTACACTGCTGTAGCGTTCTACTACTGTTGGTGGCGGTGCAAGCCATGCGTACCATGGTTTAGATCGCACTCGATGAATGATGACTATGTACTGTTCACGTCGACGCAATACTAAAGGCATCGCACGTACACATGGTAGACCGAAGCTTCATTTCTTGTTTTTGCAAAGGTGGACTTGAACCGCAATACTCGAGCTTGGATCGCAGATTGTGATGGTCGGTGAAGAACCCCATACGAATGGTAGTAGATGTTGGTTACCCGGTAGTAGGTTTGGTTACCCGGTGAGCCGCGTGACAAGTGCACGATTTGTACGTGAGGAAAGTTCTACATCGTGATGGCATCTAAATCGAATGAACTATGTGCTTGCTGTGCCTTTTCAAGCAATGAGCACATTGGAACTTTGTCGTGCAACCAGGTCACCATATGTACTCCCTCCCTCCCTCCCTAACTGCTTGCCCGACGGTTCTCCGGCGTACGAAACCCAGTTTGACGACAATCCCAGAAGGGAAAATACCTATCATTGCCGTAGGCCAGTGGTGCGCACGGGCGAGGTGGACGACGTTGCGGCGACGATTGCGGGTACCAAGGGGGACATCCACGCCTCCTGCTCCTCCTGCTCCTGCTCCTCCTGCTCCTGCTCCTCCTCCTCCTGCTCCTGCTCCTCCTCCTCCTGCTCCCCCTCCTCCCCCTCCTCCCCCTCTGTCTCTTATACACATCTAGATGTGTATAAGAGACAGNTCCTCCTCCAACACCGATACCGCCATCAGCGGCAGCAGCAGCAGCAGCAGCAACAGCAGCAGCGACAACACCATCATCACCACCACCACCACGACCAGCAGTAACCTCAACAACAACAACAGCAGCAACAACCACAACAACAACGACAGCAGCAACAACAGCCACCGTGCCAATGAAAACCATGGCATCGAGATGGTGAGTGCCTGTTTTTCCTTGTCGATGGAGTTCCATGTGAATTGGGTACGACGGGACCCGCCAGGAACGGTATGAGTGCTCGTCCGGCATACATTGCTCCTGGTGGCGAACCCTTTGCGAGAACACGCCTGACCACAAATAGAGGTGCCTTTGATATTCATTGTGGAGACGTGAGGACACAGGCACCATACACGCGCACCAGTAGGCAACCTCCCACCGCGTGCCGGCACCCAATAACGCAGTCTCTACTTGTGGGTGCTTGTTCCATTTTCCATCCTTTCGCTGCCTCGAGTTCCACAAATTGATCGACGATCTCGGCACCCATCGTCGCGGATATTCGCGCTTCTGACCTTGCGCAACTAAACCTAAATACGACGTGCAGGAGATACGCCCAAGGAGGAGACCGAACAAGCAGCACCACCCCACCAAGCCCGTCGAGTGGCACACCCCGTTGTTTGTCAAATGGTTTGACGTGAGTGGTTCCTGGTTGAAGCATGGCTTCACAGCTTGACTGCTGTCATGTTGCAGTAGCGGGGGTTGAGCTATCCCCACGTGAGCACGTGGCATGACGTGTCCAGACAAACTAATAGGACTCGATCAAGAACACGAACAAACAAGTATTTCCCGTTGCCGCTGTCTCGGTGGCATTCTTTTCCACCCTAGACCCCCCCCCCCCCGACTCATCGCCTGTCCGTTTATCTCCACGAGCTATTCGAAAACCTACCGTGTATTTCCCTTCAGCTCCGACACGCGCACTTTCCTTCCCTGTGTCATCGCAGGCCAAGTCCTGTATTATGCGAGACGTCCAACAGACCCAGGCGTTGTTCTCGCAAGGTCAGCACGCGGAGAAGTCCCCGGCGCGGGCAGTTCGGCGATCGAAGCTCCCCGATACCGCTTCGAACTCGACCCGGACACCTGCACCAGTCTTGATGAAGGTGGTGAAGACGCCGGCACCCACTACACCGACGAAGAAGCCCTCACCGCTTGCATCCAGACCACCACCGACATCGGCGAGGCCGATCCGAGCGCCCCTCCCCGCTTCCCCGAGGAGGCCGACAGTTCCGTTGGCCTCAACCCGGAAACGCCAGCGCGATGGTGAAGGCTTGCAGAAGCCGGAGGAGACAAGAGCGGAGCGGACGAAAGCGGCGACGCGCAGAGTCCCGAACATCGTGCCCGTCCCCACCACGGCCACCACCTCCACCGCCTCCACCATCACCGCATTCACCACCTGCTCCGAGAAAGACGTAAAGACGATTGCGGTAAGAATGCCGCGAGACATGTTCACACGTTTGTTTGACGGTCATTGTTCACTACCATGATCGACTGTAAGGCTCTCAATCTTTGGCAGGTGGTCCGAACACGTGTTTCAGCTCAGGAAGATCGCCATTGCACGTGTAGCAGGTGCCTTCGGCGGTGGGGTCTTGATGCACCCTCTTATCCGACCACCTACATCCTTAGCGAAAATTAGTGCCCTTGGAGGCTTTTCTGGTGCCGGCAGCAGCCTTGCACTGTACTTTGCATACGCGCCATACCAAACGAAAGCCCCGTCGACACCTCGCTCGCTCACCCAAAGCGTCAACCTCGGGCAGAAACAATGCTGCCAACACTACAGTGCACCCCACCCCGCACCACGTCCTTCCAACACTCGTTTCACTAGGCTGCCAAGAAGATTGCGGAGGTGCACTGCTGCCACCAACCGCAGCACGAGAACGAGGGGTGGGTACGGGTGCCGTACCTGAGCGACGAGGACGGAGGAAAGGAGGTGGTCGGCGCATTTGTCCACCTTCCCGTGGCGATCCTTCCACCGACCTGCGGCCAGGTAATATCCTTTGATGATGGGCTGACTTGAAACCAACATGTTCCGTTCCGGCCGATTGCTCTCGTGACGCCATCGTTCGCGCCAATTGGTCGGCGCTGCGGGGTGAGAATGTCGACTGTTTCGGCGTACAGCTTTAGGTGATCGCACATCGTTACCGCAAGTGTAGCACAGCTTATCGGGAGTCATAACACCCCCCCTTCCCCATCCCCATGTTTTCACTTCAATTGCTGTTTCTGTCTCGACAGGTTTGCGACGAGGGCACGGTGTACGTCCGACCGGGCGGAGGACGGCCGACCCGAGAGTGGTACCACGAGGACCAGCGTGTTGTCTGGGAGGTGCCCAAGTCCACCATCCTGGACAAGGTAAACCTGACCTTCTCAGCAGAAAGCAGAGACGCTCGCTGCCTCAGGAATATTGTGCTTCCTCCTTGCTCTGCAGTAATCCCGAGCCTGAACAAGTTGCGTCGAGCCCCAGCCCAATCGCTGTCCTTTCTTGTCCCCATGAAGCTCAGAAAACCGTCCCAAGCCACCGCCTCCGGCACGTCCAAACTCTCGCGCCCGACATTTGCGGCCCTCACATGAAAGCCAGACTACTGATATTCATCGCTCCACACCACTCTCTTGTGTCTGACTCTCTGTGTCTTTGTTCTGCTACAAATTCATTCCTCAACAAACAATGTTCCAGGTGCCCGCGGGAGAAGGCGCAAAGTGCGACGCGTGCCACGACGACAAGCGGGGGTGCAGCTGGACGCCCGACGGGCTCGAATTGCTCTGCAACTACTGCGCGGACGCGCCTCGCCGCGAGGTGGGCGACTACCGCGAGCTGCGCGGCTACGGCCAGTTCACGTGGGTCAGCGCGTGCGACTGCAACTGCTGATGGTGGCCGATGGCGACCCACGCCATGTGCTCTACGTTTGACGCATTTGGAATATATCACTAAAGTACACGACAATGAATGGTCGTCGTGTATTGTATGTCGAAGGGGGCTGCCGAATTGTCATTACGAACGGAGCGGGAAAGTCGGAGATTTTGGCACCATAAAATTCGTTTCTCTCCATAATAGGGCCACTGTGTGGTGGTGGACGGCACTATCATTGTTCCTTGACACATCTCGATGGGTGTGTTGGGACAGATACTGCCAGGCACGTGGTATTGCCTGCCTGGCAGAGGGCTGAAGTTGTTTGAGTGTGCGTGAACGGGACCGGATCCTGGCGTCGTGTCGAAGGACCATCGACCTTTGATACCCCGTCCAGCCAGTCTACACACCTCTCCGTATGAACCCAAACATGTCGCTCCGCATCGAAACGAGACTCGTGGAACTCGTCACAGCAAGCGCAATGCTTCATTCTTGTGCATGGCATCCGCACCGCTACCACCAGTACACCTGTCGACACACAAACAAACAAAGTTTCGATGGCTTTTCCCGCCCTCTGAACTCAATATTTGTTCACGACCCCAACATAATCGTTCATCAGCGGAAGCGACTGAGCGGCTTCCTTTTGTTCACCTTTCGTCGATGCCTTCGCCCCACGTTATTGTGTTTGGCAAGTACTAGGTAGACAACACTTCGTGTCTCATGGGCGACACAGAACGTTGAAGTATGTAGTTTTCGCTGCCAACATTGTCATATTTCCTCCCTAGTAAATTAGTGCCGAGTCAACGACCAGCGATGACAAGCAACAACAAGGATGGCACCCCGCCGCCCCGCAAAATCACAGAACCACTCCTGTTCTCCCAGAGGCCGCTTAAACACCCTAGGCAAATAACAAACTTAAAAAGAACGAGGAAGCATGATGTCAGAAACTCTTCACGGTGTTTCCGAGTATCGAAAACTTAACAAAAGATGTCCGCTTCGATAGGGGCCAACAGCCCGCGCCACGGGCCGTATATTGCGACTGTTTTGATAATGTTGTCTATCACACCCAATGAGGATGCAAACAGTTACTCCCAAAGATACTGCACACCCAACCAGCGCAAGCGGCCGAACGAATGGTTACTCACATGTAGTGTGCTCACATGATTTGTTCCTCATCGGCCGGTTTCCAATAACGAATTCTCCGACATCGAACTGTATGAGCCAAGTCCCAGAAGGTGATACCGACCAACCATAGGCATGCCGTTATCGCACGCCCCTGTGTACTGATTTCCGGTGGACGTGAAAATTTGTTCCTCCACAAAACGCACATTGTGTCATAAAACAGACAAAGGCGGGACTTGCTTGGAACAGCATGAAGCGTCCGACCTAGTGTAAAGTACACATAGAATGACACCTACCAAGAAATTCAGCTCGTGACTTCAGGTATGACGAGCAAACCCCAGGGCAACAACACACGACCCCGCTACATCACGCGTTTTTATTCCCGGGGGAGAATCCTCGTCTTGGCTTGCTCCTGGAAGACTTCAACGAGAAGACCAAGTTCCGTCACTAGTCTACACCATGCGTCCTCTTCCGCGCTGCCTCGTGAGCCACCAGACCCCCTCACCCGATGAAGGTCTCCGCTTGTAGCTTTGCCTGCGGGCTAGGCCAAAACCAATCGTGGGAGATCGATCATTCACGATCAAATTGTTGTCGTCACCCCCCCCCCGCGGTAACCCATACACCCCTCCACCTGGACGTACCTTCGCGACGCGTGCAACAAGTACGTACGGCAAGTCACGCCGTACTATGGTGAGTAAACTGACGTGTAGTTGTTACCTTGGAACCAATCGCACTAGAAAGTGCACTTGGGCGTTGAATAAATGCGCCCTGGCATTCCACTCTATGTGGCGTGATGTCGGTTGTTCTTTCACCCAAGGCGCCTCACTCAGTGATGCTGTTGCCGGGTTCCGCGAGACACGTCTTCAGGTTCATCTCCGCTTTCGATCGTCCACCGATGGATGCGGTGGGCTTCTACGCCGACACTGAGAACTGAGGAAAGTGTCTATGATAATGGCTGATACCTCTTGGCTGCCGTGTGAGGTCATCAGTCAGCCATCCACGGCAAATTTGAATATTTGAAAAATTTGAATCTCGTGACCGTGGATGACGTCATCGGTCGACCACGGAATTTTCGCCTTTCTTTGGAACGTTCCTTTAAAAAGTTTGGCCAATCAATTAATTGCGGGCCACTTTCCTCTCTATCGTAGTTCACAAGTACACTACGGCCGCCCACGGAGTTGGGTGGGACGTACAGGCAGGATACCATTTCCCGGAGGTCAACCTCGACGGCGGCAAGAATACCATCTTTTCGGGAATAATAAGTTTTGGAGGGAAAAGAACAGGGACGGGGTACGCACACATTGTTCCCTAACCCTATCCCTAACCCAACTTCCCGGATTGTATACTCTATCCAACATGTTTACATCATTATACGCAAAACCCTGCGAAGGGCGCTGCGGACAGCCTTCGCGGCAGAGGGGGGCGTTGCCACTAACAGCCCGCCGACTGATGGCCGCCCTGCGAGAGCACCTGGGGGTACTGTATGTAGCGAATCTGACCAAAATGTGTTCACATTGCACGCCTTTTCGCGTCGGAGGTGCCCTTGGTTACTCGTTGTCGGGAACCGCGGCAGGGGCTGCTGGAAAACGGCATGTGGCCGAACGGTGCACGTTTTGGGCCTATCGCAATACGCAACGACAGCTTTGTTGAAAAAAATGCAGTTGCACCTCTAGGACGCTAAACACGTTCCGGCGCCCGGTACAAGTTGAAGGGTTTTAATAGGCGGTACCCGCCTCACTATGTGGGACCTCTTTGGATCAGTGTCAACGCGCCCGACATCTTGCCAAACAAGGAAAAGACGACACCGCTACACTAACGACCACATGATTTCGAGCAAGCCCTTCGATGACAACACGGCGTGTTTCTGGTTCGCAGGGCGGGACTCTCTGTGAGTGCTACATGTTGTAAGGTCTCAAGCGACGGTAGAACCACCTCAGAGACCCCATGCAGGCACTGAAAACGCTCTCAGCACAGGGGGGCACATCCTTGAAATGATGGCATGCTTCACGAACTGCTGATCCCAGGGTGGGAGGGATGGTCTCAAGATTTCGCGACGTATTCGCGTTCCCTCGAGGCCATAACGGGAGCGAAAGATAAACATCGGCCAATGTAAATCCATGTACATGTAACGCCTTCCGCTGAAAGGACGACGTTTTACGTTTTTCGCCTCGCCAGGCATGTTGTACCATATTCAATTTAGGGTGGATGTCGCATGAAGACCAACGAATCCCCACAGTGCGGCAACGTGAGGAATAGCTGCCAAACAACAGTATTCCTGCTCCGCGCTTTTGATGGTTACGAAGATTTTTGTTGTGGAAGCGAAGCATGTCACGGCATCCTTTACCCTCGTACGCCGCATACTTGCTCCGCTTGGTCTTTGACGTCGGCAACTCGTGTCCTACACCGGACGAAACGGTCGAATACGAAACGGACATGCTCGACATCACTTCAGAATGGTTCTTAAACATGAAGACGGTGCCAACACTAACACAACACAACGCGGCAGCAGCAGCCACAGATGACCGGGGAAGGCTCACTCTACTGAGCCATGTCTGCCTGTCGATTGCTCCCTTCTCGATGTTGCTTCTGAACCATGGCGTTTGTAGCCTTTTCTAGTCCGGTGCGGGGTGTCAAGGCAAACCCCTCCATAAAAAACATAATATTCAAGCTCTTCGCCCTCCTGCGCGATGCTCATGAGCACCAACATGGCCATGACTTGCACTACTTGACTTTCTGTGTGCCTCCAACACAACAGCGCGCTAGAGTGCACAGCAGAGAGCAAACGCGCGAGCTCGCTTCTACTAAACCCTAGGACGGGCTCCGTCTTGCTACACCTCAGATCCTACTCTCCCATACGAACACATGACGCTAGTGCGACGAAAGTTCACATTTATTTAGTCCTCAGAATCCACGTCTATTACCCCCGACTGAACCATGCCGTCATCGACTTTGCGGCTTCCCGCACCCTTGCCGGCCTCTCTGACATCGTTCAACTTTGAGAACGGTGATCCCGATGGCGGCGGCGGAGCCGAGGACGAGACGTCTCCTTCGGGTTTCTTGCCGGCTGCGGCGTTGGTGACGTTTTTACCTATCTCGCTGTTAGCTGTTTGCCAACACCGCAAACACGCGGAGGAGAGCGGGCAGACGGAGAAAGAAGGCTAAGCGGTCCATGCATCGCGACGGAGCGGGGAACATGGCGGATATAGGAGCGTGTGGTGAGGTGCGAGTGAGAGGGTCCCGAGCCCAAAGAAAACATTTCTGGCGCAGATCGGCGCTGAAAATAACTCGATTGTCATTCGGATGGGGGAAGGCTAGTTGTTATTGCCGCAAAAATGCTGGCTGGTACACGTTCAGGGCAGCCGCCGCAACATGAGCATCTCCAAGAACGACACGCGATTGCGAAGGAAACACTCAAAGCTCGAAAACACGAACAAGCAATCTCGTCCACCAGCTCCAGACGACACACGTAAACAGAAATTGTCAGTAGCAATCTACATCATACCCTACGGAACGTGTTTAGCACGCGAACTCTGCAATTTGCTCCACACCCTTCGTTTCCTTTTGACCGCAGGGGGGAATCCAACCAAGAGCTGCCCACCGAAAATACAAAGAAGGGGCGGAAAATTGCCGACTTTTGGTTCCACGCAATGGCACGCACCCGTCTCCGAGGGAATCGACAACTCACTCAAAAACCAAGCAATCGTTGCTGTCGGAATAACGTCGAAGCCCGGCAGAATCTCCTCCACAAAGGCGAGGCCTGCGAACAAGAACAACGAGAGACAGCGTAGCATGCACATGAACATGGACCCCACGTCATGTTTGAGGAAGAGGTGCTTCGTGCATGTCATACTGCGTCAGAATCCCCTCTTCGGTGCCACCCTCCTGTGTAGGAACTTACATCCACGCCCTTAACCTCAGCATCGTAGGGGTAAAATTGACCACCTCTGAAGTCGAGAACATGTGCGAACAGTTTGCTACCAGAACCATGTGTGCGGTCGCGCAGGCCCGGCGGAGAGCGAGATCAGAGCAACTGCAGTGACGCTAGGTGCCACGAGAAACGCGTTATCATTGCACACACTGCGCCGGCGTTTCAGCCCGAAAAGGGGGAGAAGTTAATGTTGCTGGGGATGGCTTGCCGAATCGAGGTGGGAAATACGAGTTTCCTCGTACTCGTGCGCTATACATGAAAATCACGTGACAATCACGCACATCTGGCGAGAACTAGGAGCCGTCAGCGGTCCGACTATTGTCCTGGCTGTACCTGCGAAGATGCTGTTGCCGTACAAGTAGAAAATCAGGGCGGAGCTGATGGGCGCCCATCCCAGGTCGGTGGCCTGCCTCGGACACAGACGCCGTGGCATGGTGAAGTGCGTGACAAGCGCAAAAAAAAAAGCCAGGAGGAACGAGACGGCGCGCCAGAGACGCAAACAGCAGTATTCTCCAACCTCATGGCGAGTGAATCCGCCCTACCTTGCAGCCTATCCTGCCGTCTAGTTGCAGTACATAAATTGATCTGAGGTTGCCACGCGTCGGCTTGTACGCTGTATCGCGCGTGTTTGCTCAAGAATCTGCCGCATTCTGACGCGTGGACACCAGTCCGACCTCTTCATAGGCTTGGACAGCAGTATCTGAGTGTTGCAGACACGAATAGTCTTGGGTATCACAAGCAGGAGCAACCATGAACGGGGCTCGACTTTCAGGACGCAACGGCTTGCCAAATGTTGTTCAGTGCTCCTTGCCTGATGCATGTAGACTATTCCATTTTTATCCACAGAAATAAGCTACCTCAAAAATACCAGCACGGGTCTTCTTGATTCAAGAGATGCCCCCCAAAGCCTCCGTCCCCAGAGCAAAGGGTGTGCACTTACCTCGCCTACGCCGGGGAGGGCATAGGAAGACATCCCGATCAGATCGATCAGGACGGAAATGGCTAGCTTCGCTTGCCTGGACAGTTGCTGCGTACCCGGCCCCATAGGCTCCCCTTCGCGCGCAAACAGCACTGTGCTGCTGCTCCGTTTTCTCATGGCGCGTGTTGATCGAGGACGCAACGGTACCGTAGAGGGAAGGAGACTGGGTGGTCGTAGCTGCTGCTCGCGATGACGATGATGCGCGAGCCGGGCAGCGTTGACACTTACTGGCTGGAGTGTTGAATGTTGCCGTTGCAGTGCGGACAGCGGCGGAGGGCTGGCTATGAAAGCCTCTCCGCGGACGAGAAGGGGAAACACTACGGAAGACAACCGAAGCAGCCCCATGCTATATTAAGAGCAGTGTCCCACAGCAGAAGGTCGCAATGGCGTATCTCTCACTCGCTTAGCCACCGTGAAGTTTGGCTACTACTGCTGTATGGTATGCAGCAGTATTGCTCAAACATGCAAATGTCAGTTTGAACGCGGCGGAATTGAATGCCTGGCATCATCCACGGGCCCCCATCTGGAAGCCTCATCCTGTATTGTGGTAGTACTGGCAGCTGTACCACAGCACCTTGGCGCTATCCACGCTTCTCGTTTCCGGGTCTGCTGTTGTGATGGAGACGTGTAACCCTCCAGGGTTCTATGTCGATCCGCCTGCTTTCGACATCGAACTGGAGGAGTTCGGCACGTTGCCAATTTGTAGGCTAGAGGCCGTTCGACTTCTACGTGAGGGACAAACAACGCCGGCGCAGGTGTCGGAGGCGAGCCCGGCGCAAAAAGCGCTGACGGCCGGTGAGTCATGTCTGGCTACACAAGCTGAACGACTTTTGCGTTTCTCGAGACAGCTATGCTTGCAGGGTATTCGCCTGCGGCTCATGCTGTTTGTGGCCTCTAGCAACAAATTGCCAAATCTCTTGAACGGTACATATTCTTCATGAACGGAGACTGCGTCCGTGGCTGGCTCTATTGCTGCGGCACCGCTGCGGGCGTCGTTGACACAAGGCTACAGCAGTAGACTTAAACTAAGGGTCTTTGCGACGACGGACTTCATGTTATGAGGTGTGAACGATGCACTGCAAGCTCGCAAGATCACTTCCCAGTATTACAACGGTACAGTACGTATTCGTTTCGCACTACAGCTTGTAGTCTAAGCGCCATGACTGCTATCCCAAACTCCGATTATTCCTCCGCACGAACTCACGCTAGATGCTAAGCTGCTTCTCCTCCACGGGCACGGCGATCGGCCCTCAGAGGCCAAGCATCAACGCGCAGACCTCGCGAGCCACTTCATACTGAAGCTAGCGTGCTGTGGTGGAAAAGGCGGAGAAGTGCAGCCGGGAACCGAAGGCAGCAAGAGGGACGACAGCAGTGGTCGGTGCGAGCAATTTGACCGGAGGAGCAGCAGGCGGGAATGGTTCGTTCGCGCAGAGAGGGACTTGTTTAAAGCTCGCCTCCACTGGCATCTCCAGCAAAACGAGGGGGGGGGCAGCAAGGAAGGAATCTCGGGGCGATGTAATGGAGGAGCAAGTAGCGCCGATCTTGGGGCACGTGCGAGTATTACCGACCGTTTGAAGGCCCTGAGATCGTTTTATAACCTGGAATGGCTGCAGCCGGTTGGACCGGCAGCTCCAGATTGCAGCCGCATGGAGAAGCAGAGAGAAAGTGGGAACGAAGGTTCTTACGCGAGGGAAGGCGTTAGCACCACCAGCAGTTCCGGTGGTAAAGGATGTGGCGGTGGCGGTGGGAGTGGAAGCGGTGGAGGTAGCGCCGGGAGAAGGCGACGAGACGGGGATGACCCCTTCCGAGAACACTCCCGCTCATCTACTCCTGGCGCGTGTCGAAGTGGCGATGCAAGTCACGGGACTCTTGAGCGACAGTTGCCTCCTTCATCAAAGAGGAAAAAGCTATCCCAATCCTTTGCCGTCAAAGGCGGTAGCGATATCGGGTGCCTATCGTGTCCGTTCGAGAAAGTTCTTCCGCTTGTCCGATCCCGCCGGGTACTGCTTAGGGACGGGGAGGCGCTACTCTCGCCAGATCAGCTTCCTGAGGCAGTGGTACAGCACTTTGAAGATCGTCTTAGGGAGGGAATCGCCATCGCGGAGCGCGGCTTGGCTGGGGTCGAGGCGGACGACAGGGTGGCGAACGTTTTGAGCCAGGTCAGGAGAGCAGTGGATTCCTTGGTGAGCGGCGGCGGGCGGCGTGGCCTTGACGCAGACAACCGATCGATGGCCATAATCACCCGGAAAAACATCGACCAGGTTGCCGAGGAGCACTTCCCGCTCTGTATGCGGAGAACGCTTCGCATCCTTCGACGTGAGCACCACCTAAAGTATCAGGCGCGGCTGCAGCTCATCAGCTTCCTCGGGAACGCCGGGATGGAGGTGCGGGCCGGCGTCGAATGAAAGGTTGCAAGCTTCATTACGACATTACGATGCATTTGGCCCCGGGCCTTGAACGAGCCGCCTTTCTCCCTGCGCTCCGCGCCGTGCATCGAATCTCGTCGGCATGTGTGGGACGCATGAATGCAAGTTCGAAGATTCGGCTGCTCAGTGTCTGTCGTACAGCATTCTGTTTGGAAAGAGGGACGGTTCTCTGATGGGTCGCTCAGCGCAACCAAAGAACGAATGATCCCGAAAGGAACCTCAGGAACCTCTCGTTCATTCCTCTAGCTCATTTTGCAACCTTCCACGATGTCTACGTTGCTGCTTTGCTTTGTCGTATGTGGCTTCGGCAGGTTGATGAGATTCTGGGTCTTTGGCGGGAGGAGTTCCCGAAAGGCATGCCGGCGGACGAGTATGCTCGCAAGAGAAACCAGCTAAGCGCACTCTGACCTGGTGTATATTGGAAGGACGGGTAGATTAAGCGGAAGCCACTTTTGATTGTATGTAGGTCGTACTGCTTCGTTGTACTGATTCTGGAACGCTTTTGTAGTATTGGCGGCTCAGCAATTCACCCTCACAAATAGCAGGCCGATGTAGCGAGCAACGTATTTGTGGGAATGAGAAGTTGGGAACTTGCCTTTTGTGCCTCAGACGTTTGGAAACAGGAGGTACTGGATACTTTTTTTTCGACATCGTACTGCAACAGCAACGGGAGATATTGAAGAACTTTCCTGTTGGAGTTTCCGCGATGAACTGGCGCCGGGAGCACTTTTGCTCGGCACTGACGCAGACACACCAAGCGTCGGTCCTCCCGACGCTTGGCACTTGGAAATTCGCGGCTTTCGTCCTGGTGTGTAGATATGTGTCCTGCGGATAGCACGTGGTCTAGGATAAGCTACATGTACCTCGTGGGTTTGAACGCATATCTAACATCTAGTAGGAGGCTAACGCGTTGCCCGCCCCCCCACAACGGTTTCCGTTCCTTTCCAGATACGAATATAGTCTTCGACACCTGTGTGGCCTGGAGGGAAAGCGTAAGGCATACCGTCCTCAGTCCTGCGCCCGAATTGCCTCCGTGGGATGGGGTGGCTCGGGCGAAGGGGGCTATGGCCACGGCTGCCCGTACCACTGTCGCCCGAAACAGGCAGGTGGCGGCGGCAGCGGTAGCGGGCAATCAACGGCCGGCGGCTCGAACGTCACCAGCCTTCGAGGTATGCTAGTGGCTCAAAGTCTTCCTGCAGCAGACATTGAAGACATCATCGCCCCTCTAGAAAGCTGTGGGGGGGGAGGGGCGGTGGGGGCATGTCGAAGACACTTTTCGGCGACACACCGTTGGGCGGCAGCTGGCGGCGGCGTGTGGAGGACGGAGGGCGAAGGGGCTCAGGAGGCAAGTCCAAACGGGTGGCTAGCTGCATCGACAAGGTCAAACCAACATCAGCCGCGGCAGCAGCAGGAACAACGACAACAACCACAGCAGCAGCAGCCGGTGGGAAAGGGAGAGTTTCTAGCGCAGGAGGGCCAGGGTGTTTAAGCTAATAGATTCACCTCACGGCCTTGTCAACGAGTTACCTACAAGTGGCTGGGAAGGCCGCATGTCCTTGTCGGTCTAAGCCGCAGGCACATCCTCGGAGGATGTAAAAAAGCACGACTTCCCCCCAGTTGTGCAACAATGGTGGTGCAGCCTCGTAAGATTGTGTGACGAGCGGATGCTTCTTGCTGCTATCGTTTCGTTGTGGACCTATTCCTCCTTTACGTGGAATTCCCGCCAAATTGCCAAATTGTTGGTTGCAGCGGTAGGGGGACGGACTCTGTTGAATTTTCAGTTGAAACGCTAGTAGAATGTGAAATCCCTTCGAGAATTACCGGCATGCCCGAGTTTTACGCGATCATACGATCGCACTTGGCTCCGAAGAAGCTTCAAAAGGTCCAGCTTGGGTCGGGCTCAAATCTTGGTTGATCACAAATCTCAAGCTTATGCTTCAGCAGCGGATTTAGCGCAGGATCCTCAGCCATGTTCTGCTCGCGAATAGTTGCTCTGTATGACCTTCGACACACGGTCATCACTCACGGGGAGAGGGATATTCTGTCTCGTTCTTCGTCCAAGGGATGCTCACGTTGATGGAGGATGTAGGCTCAGGGTCAGGCAGCTAGGGAAGAATAGTGGGATGTTGGCAATCCACGTAAGCAGTTCCATGTTTTTTTTGGAACTCGCCCTTGCCATTTTGAGTTCGTTTGCACGAATCTAAATTACGAGGAAGAAGATACTATCCCCGCGATGATGTCCGGTGGATGCATTGACTGCGGACTGCGGGATGGGATACCTATACATATACCGGGGCCGGGGAAACCCAAACGTGCCCGACTGTAGCCAATACCAAGAAGGTGTCATTTTTACTCGGGAAGAGCCACCCACTCCCCCGATTCGAGGGAAGTAACCACCGCGTTGGGTAAATCAAGGAAAGCACAATTAACGACACCATGTTTGCAGCCTGCCCATCGCCAATCCCTTGAAGCAACGCGACAAAAAAATTGCAGCCTGCCCGTCGCCAATCCCGTAAAACCACGCCGTCCACCACAGACACGGCATGCGCGAGCAAGACAAAACAACCAACCTCCTCGGATATCTTCAGTCCCTCATCGCCAAGGCCTAGGCTCGTCGCCCAACGTTCCTCGGCGCTTGATTCAAGTTCATGAGCATGAAACGTGCTGCACAAAGTCAAGTGGAAAAACCTCCTGAAAACAGCTCCTTGACGTCGACATCTATCGATTCTCGTGGTACTGGGGTCGTCGTAGAAAAACACACAGCCGAAGGGACGAAGCTCCAGCGATGGCTTGATAGTCGGCTGATCTCGAGCGGAGAAGGCCACCGGCACGCTGCAAAAAAGCCCCTGTAGCCGAAGACGCAACGACAAAATCCAGCACGGAGCAGTTGCGGCCGTAAGTGGTCATCTTTGCAAGCATGTGACTGACGTAAGCTTTTGGGCATATCTTGGGGCACGACAGAGGGGTGGTCAGAATTATACTGTGGTCATGTGTCAAACAAACAACCAGGCAGCAACATAGCATATCGTGCACGAGTCTTGGCAACCAAGGAGGCGTTTTTCTTGCCTGGCCCGTTGAGCGCGAGACATGATGTGATCGAGGTAAAAGCCTTGTGTGAACACCGGACACAGAGAGGAAATAATCAGAGCATACGGCCCGCAAAGGACACGCGCCACATCTGTGGTGTTAATAGCTCGTGTGCGTGTGAAGCAGGACTGAGCAGAAACCAGGCGAGAGCTACGCGAGCAAAGCTTTGTAACAACTCTTTCGACGAGAGGTAGACGCCGCTCTACTATACCGCAGAACGCAAGAAAGGGTGAACATTCCTGGATTTCGGATATCACCATGGACGGGAAATTGCCATCAGCATTGGAAAATATGGAAACACGTGCCCCATGAGGATCGATCCAAGTTGATCGAAGTGCCACACTCTTTGATCGGAGATACACAAAAATACTGTTATGGCATGTAGCCCATAATGTCTGTCGAAGTCAGTCAAGGTCGACCTAAGTTGAAACCTCATGATACTGAGACTATTATTTTTCTTTGTTTTGTCTTCAATTCAAATCAGCGCGTACAGTTTACGCCAACCCGTGGTCACACAGAAGTGCTCCTCTCTCCTCTCCCTTCCTGCAGTACTTTGTCTTCGACTTTTAATGCGAGAAGAGTTCAGCACTTTCTTCCCTTTGTCTTCACATGAACTAGCGCTATCCACTAGGCCAGGAGCGGAAGCGAGAGAAAATTTCACATTGCAAGAAAAGCTCGCCTCCGCCGGAATTCGAACCCCTGACCTGACTTCTAGAAGATTTCGAGGACACCAACTAGATTGCCGGGGCGACCGGATATGATACTGAATATGATCATTATATCCTATCGTTGCATGTATATTGCAAATAGAGAAAAGTCTCGAGCTCACATGCTCTTCGTCGATCACTTTGCGAACTACAAGTCTCACGTTCTAATGTCAACCAAAACGATAAGTCGCTCACGTTAGTTTCGTTGTTCTGGACGTTCATCCTCTAACTACCGGTTTTCAGGACCAAGTTCGCGAAGCAGCTCGTCGTGGAGTGCCAAGGTCTCTCGCAGTTCGTCCTGGGGCGGGCCGTCACTCACAGTCTCCACTGATGCCATCGATTCCCAACCATAAACAGGAAAGAAGGGGCACGGTACGCATGCATTTAGGCGGCACGAGGGTCTCCAGCGTAAATGCGAAGGAGAAAGCTCAGCCGATTGATTGGTTGTGCAACTACGCCAGAACAGGTCGGGTATCGAGACGTGAAAACACGAAAACGGCACCAAGCGTTTGGGCACACAAGTAAGAGCCCACTTCACCGGGACAAGCAAACACTCATCAGACAAACCATCACAATACTCGTACACAAAGACAAATCGACTAGTCAACGTGGCCATGTTCCACCAAACAAGTCAAATTACGACGTCCGGTCGAGAACCACGTTTTAACACCATCAGAGGCAACTTTCAAGCGACACGGTTAGAGCGCAGAAAATACGTGGGTGAGTGATAAGATTCCACGATGGAGAGAGGCGGGACCCGATATGATATGAGCCGAGTAATTACCGATTGTGTAGTGATCGTTTGTCTGGCCATGGAGCTACGACAAGAAGTGGAGAATTTTCACTCCGCACGCAAGAGATGGCGGAAAGCCTGCGGAATGACTTTGCTCGTAGGCGCTCACGAGGCGAGGCCCAAACGAAAGCAGGCGAATGCCGAGATAGATTATTTTCAATCCCCGAGAAAAAGAGACGAATGTCTAGTGGGTCGTGATCACGATTCTGACGTACATTTACGGCCGATCTTGTCAATGGTCCTCTGAAAACGGCTCAGCTTGGCATCATGCTCGCGATGCAGCTCATCGTACTTGCAATGCACTTCCTTCAGGAGTTCCACGGCCTCTGCCACCTGCCCCAGGGTCACCACATCATTGCTAGCAGCCGGTGCTGATGTACAAACAACGCCCCGTCGAGTAGGTACACGCAACATTACCAAAGGAGCAAGCAAGAGAGCATGACATTTGGTGTCTTTGGCATGAGACGTGGCGGGGAGAACGTGTGGTGAGATGGGGGGGGGATCGTAAGTTCAAAACAGGGAAATGGGGAAAGCGCTTTTTCACCGTCGAAGCATTCTACATGGAAAGCAACCATTCCACATGGAAAGCAACCATTCCACATGGAAAGAAACCATGCAAAACAGAGTAGTCAAGCTACTGAATGCTCGTGCATATGGTATTATCCAATATGAGGGGGGTAGCGAAACACGGCGACGCCTGCACCAAGCGTTCAATGAGATCAGGATTAGACGTCAAATGCGCTGAGACGATTGAATCTTCACTCCGTCACGAACGAATCGAATCGTGCCGGTCCGACGTTCGCTCTTCCAAACCAACGAGTAGATCTTGTCCCTGCTCCCTGAATCGGGTCTGTTAAAACACAACACGCTTATTCGGCATTGGTGCTTCGACATCAAGTTACCACACACATTGCCGGCGCAAACCAACGCGAAAGCGTCGCCAACTCGAGCCCCGTACAGGAGATTGGGAATTTACCTCTCTCTTGAGCCCTCTCGAGAAAGTCATCCACTCTCTCGGTGACAGCTTGCCGCTGCTTCAAAGTTTGCCGCCCCCCTATCAATCGTCGTGGATTGCGCCCGACACGACGTGCGGCAGCGTTAAATGTATTTCAAGTACGTATTGACTGGTTGTGTACGAAGAGGGTTCATTTTTTTATCACAATCGAATGCCAGCACTACGAGACTAAAAAGTACTTCCGATGCTTTCTCGCAGGTGACGAAACAATCAGATGAAATCAAACAGACGTACAGCCACGGCATTAATATGCTCACACAGTCGGCCCCCAGGCCTGGAATCGACAGATAAACGGTGAAACAACACAGCATGCACAGACGACATGGTGCTACTGAATCATGGCAATAATCTTTATGCACCAAAAGAGTGAGATGAGAGCAAAGCAAGGAGAGTATCAGAACATGTTCCCGCGATTCCATCGCCCCAACCACGGCGACAATGTCTTGACAATGGCACTCTCCAACTCCAGAATTGTTCCACGCGATCCACAAGGACACGAGGAACACAGTTGTAGCGTTTCTCCGCAGAGGTCAATTTACCCGCCAAGTGTTTAGGATCAATGAGGACCCAGTTTCTTTTTACCGTTCAAAGAATATCGGCAGGGGATGCCACCCGTGCACCTTGATTTGTCGGTTTTTAACGCCGACTTTAGCGGGAGTGAGAATGTTCCCAGTGAAACAGTATTAAACCATCACCGACGACGTTCCCGTTGGCAACCATGGACGGTCGGGTGGTCCCTATTCGTCACTATTCTTACGCGTGGGTGATCGTGGACGAGAGGGATTCGGCCTTGCGCAGTCTGCAAGGAGGAGCTTCGGCACCCAAGGGTCAAACGTCACAGCGTACCCAATTTTGCACCCAGCTGGCAATCAAGTTTGTATCATCCCCCGTACGATCACACTTACCGCTGGGCACGAAGCTATCCGAGTCCGGCTCAGGCTTCATCACCTTCTTGTGTAAGATTTTCACCTGGAAACCAAACGCGGCCGCATGCAGCATGCTGGTGTAAAACGCCGACACCTGCCGGTGACCATCGACGCGGTTCTGACAGTCCATCACGCAGCGATATTCCACCATGGCGGAACTACTCAACGACCATGTGCATACTTGGTGGTGAGCTTCTCGACTATAAAAACCGGCGAAATATGATGAAGGGAGGCTTCTGAATCTAATGTATACTGTACAGCATTTTCACAGCACCTTAGACTCCAGCTCGGCGTTTTTTGCAGTTGCCGCTTCAAGACCGTCTTCTAGCGTGGTGTTCCTTGCATGAGCAGCTTCTAGACCAGCTTCAAGCTCGACTTGTTTCGCATGGGAAGCTTTCAGGCCAGATTCCAGCTCTACGTGCCTTGCTTCCGTGCGAACCAAGCGCTCCATCAACGCTGCCACGTCGATATCACTCTTGGCAGCACCGTCAGGAACGGCTGGACGAGTAGCTGCAGCATGCGACTGCCGTGAAGCTGGTTGGGCGGAGCTAGCGTCGTGATTGGCACGCTCCTGCGTGCCGTGAGATGTTGAATTAACTTTTCGCTCGGCCTCTGGGAGTATAATCCCGACAAGAACTTTCACCTGGGGATGCATCATGTTTCATCAACGCGTTCATTTCCATTAGATATTGCTCCCGTGAAAAATACCGCGAGTGTGTGACGCTGTATGAGCGAGTCCGAGTGTCTGCTTGATACACCGACAGTACCACAAGCTAGTCGCCGAACTCCTTGTCCCTTAGGCGAAGAAATCTATATAGGTTCACTTGGGAATCTCTCCGAAGCAATGCACAAGGGTGGGAGTTGCTTGATATATCGCGTATGACAGCAGTGTACGTGAACGGCTCCAACGACAAGAGGAGGATCAGCCAACGTTGCTTATTCTGAAACTGCGCTGGTGTTTGTGCTCCCGGGCCACTGAGGTTGACCCGGGAAGGGCGAACGTGGTCTAAGGTTGACACGTGTACGGTTTCTACAACGAAACATATAGGAACTCAACACAACCGACGAAAAGACATGAGACGCGCGGGGATGGTCCATACAAAAAGCGTTCCTAATTCACGGCAAAAAGGAAAAGACGGTTACAGGCCGTGGTTGGATTCATCGCATGAATCGACGTCAAGCATGCGCGGATCGAGGGGTTGCTACGTGCCGTCCTGATGGGTACAAGCTGGGCCAAGCGAAAAGCTCACTTTCGTTCGTTCGTTCGAGTCTCATTCTGTCGTTTCCACGAATTTGGGCTTGAAATTTGTTGGCTGCTCTCAAGTGACAGTATGGGAAGCGCAGGTGCCAGAAATGTTCGAATCTGAGTTAATTCGAGCGAAGCGAGATTTCTAATCTTGCCTGAGAGGGCTCAGCGCAATATAGGGGCCGATGCAGGAAAAAAAGTGCGTGCGTGTGTTGTGTTCGCTTAAACTAGGTTTTAGAGTACAGGACTTGATTTGTGACTACAGGGCGCACTTTTTTTTTTTACACAGCAGAGCAGCAAACAGCAACAGCAGACAACACGCGCTCAGCGAGCAGACTGAACACACACGCACAGCAGACAACACGCGCTCAGCGGGCACAGCGACACACCAACAGCGCAGAGCGGACACAGCCACAGCGGCCTGCATGGCATGGCAATTGCATGATGAGTAGACGTCCGTTGGGGCCGATTGACCCGAACTCCCTCCGTGAGGCAGAGACGCACACAGACTCGCGGCGCAGACAAAGCCACGGGGAGAGGGAGCCCCTAGGCAGCCCACAGCTTGACCGGGCGAGAGCTGCTGCTCGTCAGAGGACTGCCGCCAGGCGTGCGGCGGAGACCGATGGAGCACGGGCAGAAAGGTGCGTTGCGTGTGCGTGCGTCTGGGCGGCGATTGCCGGAGAGG